ATTTCAACTCTGAAACTTAGCATTTAGCTTAAATGTAGTCCATTTTCACATAATACAGCTTAAACTGAAATATGTCCAATTTATATGGTTGAATCAGTATTTTCATGTGTGGGTTTTGTGTGTTTTCGGTGTGTGCTGCCAGAGAGAAGGCGATTAACTTTTCGTCTCTTAATCTCATTACTTAACCCTAACGGACATAGAATTATGACACTGCAACAGACACACACATGCTGCCATGAATCAATCATGTCTATAAATCACATCAGAAAACCATTATATATAAAGTGAGGTTCAAAAGTCTGACAACACATTGAATATAATATTCAAAATGTAATGTAAACCTTTTTGTAGGTCACTTATCAAAGCCATAATCCCCCTCCAAAAATAAATAAATAGATACATAAAATAAAATAAATAAAAATAAAAAGGAAAAAGGAAATTCACAATTATCATTATCAACTATTTAGTTAAACAATGCATATTTAAACTGTAATGTAAACCTTTTTGTAGGTCACTTATCAAAGCCATAATCCCCCTCCAAAAATAAATAAATAAATACATAAAATAAAATAAATAAAAAGGAAAAAGGAAATTCACAATTATCATTATCAACTATTTAGTTAAACAATGCATATTTAAACTTAAATGTATTGTGTATATATCTAAGGTCTAGAAAGATGAAGACAAAAGTGTAACAGGAAATGTCTGTGATATCAGCACAACTACTCTGCGATGTCTGGTAATGCAGTGTTAAATGGGTCAGAGCCATAAGACGGCAACACACGGGATAAACACACACACTTAAAATAGACTCTCTGTCATAGGTGGGAATTGATGTCAGCAGAGTGTCAAACTCAGCATCTGTTCCACACACACCCCCATCGATAATATATTGAGCCTAACTGATAGATCATGATGCTAGCAACAGCAAGATGGGTTCAATGTAATGCAAGTCACTTTGGATAGTCAGATGCATCAATGTAAAATATAAATGTACTTAGTTGAATGAACAGGAGGAGAAGGACAAGAGGAAAGGAAACCCATTATTTTCTTGTCCATGAAACATAATAGAAGAATTTCCAAATAAAAAAAAGTGATTTGCACTATCAAAGTCCAGAAATGACAGAAAAGCACAATAAAAGCATTGTAAAAGCAGGCCATAGGATTCTACATTTCAAGAGGCGATAGCTTTGTGTGATGAACAGTCAAATATTTAAGAAAAGCTTGGCCTCCGCAGCGCTCAAATCTTATTCATGTTCAATTCAATGCAAACTTGGGTTCAATCAAAAAAATGATGGCTTAAGACACATCATGCCAAGTCTTTCTTCAGAAAATCTATTGTCATTATCAGGTATATTATTACATCCTGTAGCTCAAGCAGTCCAGAAGGGCAATGCCAAAGTCATGGTTCGAGTTCCCAGGGAATGCATTCCCTAGTCAAGTTCCCTAGTCAAGCAAATACAGCTCTTATAGCTTTGGCACAAATCACACAAAAACTATGATCTGGTCAGGCTAATCTCATGTGTGTTCAAGAGAAAACAAACTCTAAATTTGATCTAAACAGCGGTTGGCTCTTTTAAGTGAGGTAATACTACAGCGTTGTAATTTCTAGCGTTAACATTTCTCCCATTCACATATATGTGCTACATCTCTGGAAGGAAACACATCAGAGCTCACAGACATGACTATAACACTGCTTATCCCGATGCTCCAGCAGCTTCACTCCGTAATCCCTTTCCTGCTTCATATTTTATATCTCTCTCCCCATTCATTTTCCTCTAGCTTGTGTGTGCTGTCTCACTTCCTCTGCAGAGCTCATGTATGGGTGTGTGGGAGTCTGCTGACAGTGGCACGCTTAGGTTTATATAACATTTGATTGTGACTGTGTCATTCACTAATGACCTTCAGTTGCTGCTCATATGTCATTCCGATGTTTAATGTTGCAGTCATGTACACAATGATCATATCACTCCCCCCACACGCATATTTAATTGTTTTCCTGTCAGGGAATAGACTGACTGCCTATTTACCATTGTTTTTATACTGAGCTAATTATATTGTATATACCCTTACACTGTAAAAATGGTTGTGATTTTAACAGTAAAAGACTGTAAAATTATACAGTAAAAACCTGTTAACTGGCTAACAGTAAGTTTCCGTACTATATAAGGTGAATAACTGTAATTACATTTAAGTAAAAATATAAATAAAATGTAAAATACAAATTACAGTTTTTTAAATTAAAATTACAGTTTTTTAATGTTAAAATTACAGTTTTTGGAAGTGAAAAAGAACAAGTCATTGTATAATGTATAGTGAAAAACCGTCAATTGACATTCCCAGAATTCCCTGCATGACACTTCACATTTGATGTTTTTTTTCATTGATATAACCATGTTTCTTAGTTTTTTCTTATCAGTTGTGTACATTAGGGTTTTATCTTGTATCTAATGTTAAATTAATGTTTATTGCATGATTTCAATATCATGTGTGTTACCATGATGGTGTTTAGTATTTGTGTGAATGACAATGTGCACCTTCTATATATTAGTATTTACCTTCTCAGCTTGTGGAAAAGCTACTTGTGATGAGCTTTGATTCATCACGACTTTCTCATGACTTTCTGTTTTTGGTGGTTATCAGTGTATTACAATGGTACAAAACCGATATTAATACTTCAATAGGATGTTATATTAACATTATATCAGTTAATGAAATACGTGAATTTAGGTCTGCAAAACATGTTTAAAAGAATGTTTTAAAAAAATATTGCTACCATATTTTTTTAAGGTAAATTACTGGCAAACACAGCTGCCGGTATTTTACCTTAAATGTCACACACACACACATGTCTGGTCAGCTATCCTTGTGGGGACTCTCCATAGGCACACACACACACATATGTATATATATATATATATTTTAAGGTACACATCAGTATGTTTCTTCCACTTATACTTTCATGCTTCCAAAAGGACATAAAGGTACAATAAATGAAATAGTCCATAAGAGTCACGTACTAGAGTCTTCATAAGCCATACAAGTTATTTAAGTCATTATTCACTGAAAATTTTGAGATCAGTCTAAGCTCTTTTCGGCTATTCATGAGAGAAGTGATGCACTTGTGAATGATTCATTCAGTCAGATATTTTCAGTGAATCAGTTGATCCAGTTCACAAAATAGATTACGTTTTCAGAATCATCTTGATTTTGATTTCATTTAGTGAGCAGCAGTTCACTAGACAGGAGGAGTATCAGTGAATAATTTAAATTTGGTTTGTTCTTCACAATGAAGTTTTCAGAAGGCTTGATATACAGAGTCGTGTGGATGACTTATTTATTTATTTTTTGCTGCTTTTATATATTTTTTTTTTAAGCATAAAAAGCTTCAGTTTCTATTTTTTCACCAGAACAAAGTCAGAGCAACTGACAAGCTTAATTTTTGGCTGAATTATCCCTTTAATAAAGACATTATTTAGTTCCGTTATGAAGCAGTTTTTCTCATGGGAACTGCAGGAAGAACATTTTGTCCCCAGAGTTTTAATTTTATAAATTTTTCTGTATTTATTGCATTTAAATGTTCAGTTATTTTTGTTATAAGAAAAATTTTATTAAACCTGTTATACTGTATTATGACAGCACTTTAAAAAAAAAACTAAATTTCAATATCGTGATAATACCGCATTCCGTGATAAAAGCATTAGCAATTAATCGCAACATGAAAATTTGATACCGGCATATCCCTAGTACTAACATTCCGTCACATAAAAAGATTGCAAACATTCAACAACACCCATATACAAGTACCAAAAATTATTTTTCTCTCACACATCCACATACTCAGGGTGATCAGGATATTCAGTCCAAAATTAGGTAACATTTGTAATTTGTTTGCACCAATAAATGTGGCACAACTTTTTTAGCTGTGTTCTTGGTGTAAACAAGCCATGTGGTAAAATGACCACATAAACACAGCCCCACTGTCATACAGAGGTTACAATTTATCTGCTAAAAGTTTGTCACCACAGTAAACCTTCAACACACCATGATGTATAATGAAGCATATATCTAGAAGAGTTAAAAAAGTATTGCAGCCATTCACAAAACTGGAGACTAACATACTTTGCCTACATGAAAACGCAAAGAAGAGACATACAAGAACAAACCAGAGTGTTGGATCATAACTGAGCCCTGAATTTAAACTGAAATGCACTATTTAAAATAAAGAAAAGCAACATAAGACACAGTCTTCTTAAAAACTCATGTGCAATCAGTGGTGAGCATATATCGGCTATTTTACAGCAGCTTTAAATGTCGCTCATGCAATAAGAATTCAGACTGATGTAATAAAATGTTTATATTAAATATTTGACCTCTGGAACTGATTTTCAGGGACATTTTTATGACAGATGAAAATCTCATCAATTTATGACAAAAGCTCTACTGAATTCATTAAATGAAATTCTGAACAAATCCTTCTGTTCAAAGAGACAGCCCTAGAATAAAATATTATGAAATATATTAAACATAATAAAACCAACCTTAAGGAATTCAGTATGGTGGCATTTTCCCCACAAAATGTTAACTATCAAGTGCATTTATTTTGATTTTTTTGTAATTTCCAGTTGCATGTTTGCCACAAGCCCTTGTTAATTTCTGACCCTGGCCAGAAGTATTTTTAAGAATAATGGTCATATAGTAAAGGCTTCATAAATCATACAAATTAAAATAAACAGTTGAAGTAAGCTACAGTGCTAACTTCTCACTCACATTAGTGCAGCACACGGTCATTTGGGTCAGGTACTGAAAAGGATGATATCATACCGTGGTAAATTTTTGTTATGGTATACAACCCATGCTGAGCCCAGTCTTACTACTGTATAACCTGTAGGTATGAATGAAACACTGTGCATACATAAAGGGCATCCCAACTTCTGTTCAGCTTTATACTCCATATATCATACATAGAATACATGCACAGATATTTTTCCAGTACTCACGTAGGAAGTGTTTCTCCAGTAAGGCAATTTCCAAATGACCCTTGACCTCATTGAGACGTTCCGATTCGCTCCTCAGGTCTTGCATGACAGACAAAGTCCCGAAACCAGCCTAGAAAAAACACACAGTGTTATTGACAGGCATGAGCCTGAAACAAACCACACACAAGCCTCTCCAAGATGTGACTTACAGAATACCAGTCCTCTCTATGATGTCTTCCTCCTGTTTTAGTTTAGGCCAGTCTCAGTGGCAAACGTAGACTGTAATATTCTGACTCACTGATAGCACGACATGAACCTGCTCTGACTCCATCCCGCCACACACACACACACACACACAGACACGCAGGCTGAAAGAACGCAAGATCTGCAGAAAGATGAACCGCAATGAGAAAGAGAGACAGAGAAAGTAGGTGAGTGAGAGATTAGGAGAGAGGGCGGCACTGCAGAGAGAGACAGCAGAAAAGCAGAGGTTTCTCTTTAAGAGGCCAATGCGACTGACAGTGCAGGCATGCTCTCTTCTCTGACACACACACACACACACACACACATGCACGTTTGGTGTCACTGCATTAAACCTCTGACAGTAAAATGCTTGCTTCATGCAATTTGCAGCAGGATTATATCCAAACTGATGAGACACATAAATAAACACATAAGCAACAGTAGGGGAAATAGAAAATGGGAAAATGTGATGGCAAATTAGGGAGAAAAATAGAGTGAAATTAAGGGGATGAGAGAGATTCAGTAGAGCACAACATAGCGAAAAAAGAAGCATTTAAGCAACAAAGTAGCTAAAACTCAGAGGGATTTGGTCATGGGCACTTAGTTCTGGGCTACAGGTTTTTACGAGCCAATCAAGTGCGCCATAAATGTCATGTGACCAATCACCCTGGTGCCGCAGGAACTCATAAAACATCATACATAATAACATAATAATGTAGCCAGTCACACGTCCTTCACTAGTGACTATCTTGAGCTGTCATATCAGGCAGCAGACAAGGAAACATCCAAAAGTCTCAACAAAAAAAGTCACTGATAATTCTAAAATATTTGCCACATCTACCAGTTACTACTAGACAAAAAAAACAATACTATATTTGTAGAATTTTCAAAACTATTTTGATATTTCCAGTTAAAACAGGCATGTTCCAGTGCTAGGAATCAGATATGTCTTAAACCATTTGTTAACATTAGTTAACTACATTCATTAACATTAACATTAGTTATTGAATATGGCGCTTATCACATGCTGTGTGGTATCGGCGTTTGGTATCGGGGCATTTTAACGAGTACAAGTACGAGTACAGGAGACCAGTATCGGGCCCGATACCGATACATCCCTAGTTTTTATACTGTACACCAACCCTACACCTAAACCTACCCCTCACAGAAAACTACTGGCAAGTTTTGAATTTCATAAAACACCATTTTGTATGTTTTTTTTAAGCCTTTTGTTTTACGGGCACACACACACACACACACAGACACGCAGGCTGAAAGAACGCAAGAAGATGAACCGGATGAACCGCAATGAGAAAGAGAGACAGAGAAAGTAGGTGAGTGAGAGATTAGGAGAGAGGCAGAGAGAGCAGAGAGAGACAGCAGAAAAGCAGAGGTTTCTCTTTAAGAGGCCAATGCGACTGACAGTGCAGGCATGCTCTCTTCTCTGACACACACACACACACACACACATGCACG